CTCTGCTATCCCGATCCCTCCCAGTTTTTAAACTCTTCTTCTTTAGACCACTGAGGACCACGGTGGAGCTCTTTGGAAGCAACCTCGGGTTTTTGGGCAGTAAAAGCAGGTGCCCGAAGGGGTGGATGGAGTAGGAAGTTAGCAGGTGGGGTGGGACACTAAGCCAGAGAGCACATTTTACTCTAGAATGTACTATTTACTTTCTAAGTTCAAAGAGAACAGGCACTTGGACTGTCTGTGCAAGGTCCAGGGGCTGGGGGAGAGGAATAGAAGAGACAAAATACATGTGTCAGGACACTGAGTACAAATGGGATAGCTAACGAACAGTCCTTAACGGATTTTGGAAGAGCCACAGGTAAGCCCTGACAGGGTCGAAATAAATAGGTCTCGGAAGACGTGTAAAGAGTCCTTGCACCCTATTTTGATTTCCTTGTTAACGTCTCCCAGGGAAGCAAAGGAAATAAATAAATACGCTCAGTGCATTTCACGAGGCCGGTTATCCTGGGCCAGTCCTGGACCCTGACCTCCTTGGGGACAAGGCTTCTCACGAGACACCATGTATCAAAAACTGTTCCGCGCCAGGGCATCGACCCCCACTGGCCCTTCTCTTTGCTGTCAGGGAATCCACTCATTACTCGAATAGCCCCCCAAAAGAGTCAGCCTTCTGCACCCTGCAGTTTGCTCCTTGCAGAAGGGTAGCTTCACACGGAACCACGTACCGTGTTTGCCCGAAAATAAGCCCTACCCATAAAACAAGCCCCAGCAGGATGTCTGAGCAGGTGCGCAATAGAAGCCCCACCCCGAAAATCAGCCCTAGTGACGGATGTGGCCGTGAAAATCAGCCCTAGTGACGGGCGTGGCCGTGAAAATCAGCCCTGGTGATGGGCGTGGCTATGAAAATGAGCCCTAGTGGTGGGCGTGGCTATGCAGATCAGCCCTGGTGATGGGTGTGGCTATGAAAATCAGCTCTAGTGGTGGGCGTGGCTATGAAAACCAGCCCTGGTGATGGGCGTGGCTATGAAAATCAGCCCTGGTGATGGGTGTGGCTATGAAAATCAGCCCTAGTGACGGGCGTGGCTGCGCAGTGCGTCTGCACAACCCATGCATGTCGTCGCGGAGCGGGAAAGAACACGAGCAGCCCTTCTCATCCGCCCCGTGAGAGCTCTAGTGCTCCATAGGAGAGATTGGGGCCGGTGGCTCTAAGGGAAACAGAGTCGCAAGACATTCAGGATGGGATTCGGGGTCTGGAGAGTGAGGATGATGTCCCAGAAGAAGACGACTTCACTCTATTTGAATCAATGTAGATGGTTGCACCGCACTTAAGAAAAAATAACACATGCCCTGAAAATCAGCCCTAGGGTGTCTTCTTGAGGAAAAATAAATAGAAG